GAGGTATCAGATAGCGATATTGATGCAAGTTTTCTGCATAAGCTTCGATGGATCCTCACTTGCAAGGAGTGAAATCAATTAAGAACTTAAGTTTCTAAAATTCACCTTACTAGTTTCATACGTTTTTAAATTTATCATCTAATTGATTGTGATAATTCTAGATTCAAATTGAAATTGAAATATGATATTGATACACTAGTGTTCAAAAATAGATCCTCTTTAAAGATCTATTTACTCAACCATTGCGACATAGATAGTCTAAACCTCTATTTGATGGGTATTATTAACAAAAAAATGATATTTTAAATGGTGATTGTTTGGAGAACGTGGAATTTAAATAACAGAAAAAATTTTAAATTTATGTTCAAAATATTTTATTGTGTAAATATGATTAAAAATGAGTACCGAAATTTTTTTAAAGGGGACAAAAAATGGGCTAACTCAGGTTACACGTCTACTCCATGCTGACTCAAACCGTACTGAAGGGACATCCTATAACGAAATGGATCATATTATATGTACAAATTTTTTTAACAAAATCTCTTACTTACTACTCACAATAGGATGTAGGGATCACAAGCCGATATTTTTTAAATTCACACGAAATCCACTTTTTTGTGATAGTGTGTAACACATTTTGTACAAATGTGTTTGTACACATCTCTTTAGCCTTACGAAATATCAACCGCCAATGTCAGAGAATGGAATTATTAAGAAACACAGGAGAAGGAAAAAAAAAAAAAAAAAGGACAAATGAGCATCGGATGCGATTTTAAAGTTAAATCTCGTGAATGAAGGAGCCGAAACGTGGCCAACATATCTTATATTATTCCCATGCAGCGCAAAACACGCTGCTACCGCTGGCAGCCTAACCCAACCCACACGGGGTCCATCCCTCGCTTGGTTTAGCCCTCGTTTGAGATCCATTATTGTAAAAGAAAAAAAAAATACATTTTCAAATAGTACATTGATGAAAAATATATAATTAAAAAAATAAAAAAATTTTGAATTTTCGTATAATAATATTTTGTTAAAAAATATTTGATTGAAATATGGTAGAAATACTATATATATATCCCAAAAAATGGAACTCAAACAAGGGCTTAGCAATAAGAATTATTATTATTATTATTGTCAACTCCACTTAACATTATTTCAATTTTCAAAAATATTTTTGATTTTACTCTAGTTTAAGAGTGTACGTGAAATGGTCTGGATGGTAAGTTCTCATTTCATCTAATAAGTACAATTGTTTTAGGCTAATCGAAGACTCGGAAACTTGTAAAGTCCTTCATAAATTTGTTTTTAAAGAAATATAATGTTTAAAGAATGAAATAAGCTTGCATGTTTGACAAAATTCGTAACAAAACTCTTCAGTTTAGCGTAAGTTACCATAAACATACATGGAACCGATGAGATTGTGTTTCATTTAATCAAAAGTTGAAAATTTAGAAAAGTAAATACAGAAAGTAATTTCTTTCTCCTTGTGGAGATAGTTACTTCTCCGTTTCAATTATATAGACTTATTTCGTTTTTCACATGAATTAAGAAATATTCTTTAATGTCATTGAAAAATTAATTTTTACCAAAATCTTTCATAGTTTACCCTTATTTAATTTTTATTATGTAGTAGTAAATTATTATTGGAATTAGTAAAGAATTTGAATGATTTAATTTTAAAAAGAATAATTGAGAGTTGTTCCATTTCAAGAAGTGGGAAATGTGTGTATTTGAATAATTTCAAAAAGTTGGTATAGTAAGTGGGAAAAATTAAATTAGGGTGTATTTGATACACAAAAATTTTTCATGGAAAATGGAATTTCAACAACATTTTTCATCTTTTAAGGTGTTTGATGGGTATATTTTTTCATGGAATTCAAGTTCTTTCTTTTCTTGAAATTTGAATTTTTTTGGCTTTTAGGGAGGGAATTGGTTTTCCCGATTACTGTAGTGTATATATATATATATTTTTTTTTTCATTTTTTTTTGTTGAAAAAGTTAACAAATTCTATTGTAAAAAAATATTTCTCTTTAATTGACAATTTTCATGTAAAATAAAGTCAAACGAATATCAAAAGATAGATAATTTTCATGATTTTTTTCTTTATTATTATTATTATTATTATTATTATTATTATTATTATTATTATTATTATTATTATTATTATTTTGCAATGGAAACAACTTTATCTTTAATACCAGTAAAATATATCCCTTTAATTGACAATTTTTATGTCAAAAAGAGCCAAACGAATATCAAAAAATACTTTTATTTCAACATTTCGACGTGAAAAATTATATCAATCAAACACAATAATTTACAATTCTCACGAAAATAATTTCTAGAAAATTCAGTTCCTTGGAATTCGTTTTCAATTCAATTTAATTTCATCTTTACAATCAAACGGACCCTTAGAGTATATTGGTAAATGAACAAAATAAAATATTCTAAATTAGAAAATATGCATATATATTTGGAATAAGAAAGAAAGGAAACTCGGCCTATATAATTGGGATGGAGAGCGTATTTCAAATCTCATTACCATGATTTACCCATAAGAGATAAAAATAATTCATTTTAAATTCACATAAATTAATTAAGTTCATTTTCGTTACTACATTTATAAAACTTAAGCCTTTGTTTGAGCTCCATTTTTTCATCAATTAATTAAGTAAAAATCAAAAATTTGGATTTAGAAATCATTGATTTGTTAATTTGTTTAGAAAAAATTAAAATTAAAATAATTTGATTTACTCAATATAAAAAAAATAGAAAGATTCGGTTCTTATTCGATTCTTCGGTTCTTGGTCTAGAACCGAGAACCGAACCATACCCGTCGGTTCTCAATTCAGATACCCGTTCGGGTATTTAATTTGACAAGAACCGTCGGGTTCGGATCGGTTCGATTCGGGTTCGGTTCGGGAGATTTGCCCAGCCCTAGTCAAAAATTTGAACTTAACTTTGACTTTAGAGCCATTGTCATGGAAAAAATGGTTGAAAAATCCCTAATTGTTTTATAATTAGAAAAGTTAGGAATTGAGAGATTCTTAAAAGTGAGTTACAGCTATGGCTGTCGGACCCGTTTATTCAAACCCTGTTAATTTTTCAAGGCAGTAAAAAGCAGATCTTGTCTTCTTTTTATCATTATTCATTGGATGGAATCATGATCTATCTTTATTTTACATTCTTCAATTATAATCTGTATTTTTAATTATTTTTATAATGTTGATAAGATGTTGCAGGTTGAATTTTTTAATTGAATTATAGAATAGTGTTTGAAAATGAATTATAACAAATAAAAGCATGTTTAGTGGAGATTTCAATTCAATTATCATCAATTTTTACACTATTATTTCACTATTTCAACTGTGATTTTTGAATTATTCTCTCACAAATAGAAATCACTTTATCTCTAACGGCTAAAAAATCAATTAACAAAATTCCTACCAAACAAAATTATTTATAAATTGTCAAATTCTTTTCAAGCCGAGACTATTGATCAATATAAATTGTAGTTTTGGATAGTGCATTGTATTCTCTTACATGAGACGAGGCAATTCGGCTATAAAGATAGACGAGTTTGACCTTTCAGCAAAATTACAAGAAATTTTAGGGGATTTAATTATTTTCAACATATTTTTATTTCTATCTTCTTGTTGCTAATTACATACACATATACTCACTGCATAAACTTTTGAATTTTGTACTAATTTTGTTAAAGAAATAGATAAGTTCCTATATACGAGGCAAAAGAAACTTTGATGAGGAAGAAGCACAAATTTTATTTTGCTTTCCTATTTTTAATTTTTTCTTACTTTTTATACTTTTAATTATTTTGGTGATGGCGGCGGTGGATGTGCTTAACTATTTATACGTAGGTGGGTTAGTTGGAAAGATAAAAATATATTAAATTATTTTAACTGAGACTCGTTTATTTTTTTTTTTTTTAAATTTGGAACTCTAGATGCACATTTTTATATCATTTTTTCTATTCTATTTGTTTGTTTAAAAAGTAAGGTAAATTAGGCATTTTACAATAATTTAATGGAAAAGATAGACAATAAGGATGTTTTGTAAAAAATAAAAAATAAAAAAATGATATGAGTGCCAAAATATTAAAATTGAAATGATATGGACAATTTTTGCAATAAAAGGATATAGAGTTTTTGCGCTAATTACCTAAATTTCAGGGAAGGATTTAACGGATTATGATGGAAAGGATCAACTCCGTAAGAAAGGTTTGAAATGAAAGTGTAAATGTCACGTTTGAAAAGATAAAAATTATTTTCGCAATGAGTACAAATAATATTAAAGGTTTTTTAGCTAATACCTTATAAATAAAATATAAGTACTTATCAAAAGGTTCATATGTTTGGATGCCATGTGTATAAATCCAATAAGCAAATGAGTTGAAATGTCCTATCTTTGCTCATAGCTTTTGATTGTTGTCAAATTACAGATATATCCTTGAAGTGTCTTACTTTGGATTAAAGAAAAGACAGTTTTTAGAAGATTTCAATGATAAAAAGTTGGATGGAAGATTGATTTTTGATCTGCGGCAAAACTCACCACTTGTTGCGGAAGGAAGTCCGATATTAATTATACAGCTTTTCAAGTCCTTGTTTGATTTTCATTATTTTTTCATTAAAATAAAAAATATGATCAAGCGATCAAATTTGAATTTTTATCTTTTGTGTAGGGCTCATAACGATTATATTTTTTATTCTTATTCTTTTAAAAATGATAAACAAACGGGACCAAATAATTTTTTCTTACACCGACCCTTAGAAAAATTCTCATACGCTCCTCCGATTACTTTAATAATAATTATACTAATAATGATTTCTTTTCTGCAGCCTTGTATCAGTTGCTGTCTCCCACGCACATTTACTACTAATCCTTTATTTATTTAATCACTTAATTATTATTTAAAATTTTTTGATTTCTGATTTTTCTTTTCCTTCTCGAAATTTTCATGAATATAAATTCCATATAGCGCCATTTATCGACCTTTTTTTCTCGTGCCCAAGGCGTCATCGTTTTCTCTGTCACCTGTATTTGTTATCTCCATTTCTCTCCACTCCTCTTTCTTCTTTATTTATTTAATTTTTTTCTTCTCTTTTAATTTGAAATCCTCTCTGTTAGAGGAGCCACATACAATTTTGTACAGCTCTTTCAGGTAATTGAACCCTCTCTCTCTCCTTCTTCTAGTGGAAAAGTAGGTGGTCTAGTTCTTGTTTCTGATTTTTTTTTATTTTTTTATTTTTTTTATGTTTTGTGAAAAATCTAGATGAAATTTTGCTTCAATTCATTTTATTTCAGTTCTGGTGTTGAGAAATCTTGATTCTGTGTGTGTGTGTGTGTATTATTATTATTATTATTTTTTTTTTTTGGAAGAAAGATGAGTTCTTGGTGAACAAGGATTAACAATTTTGAGTTTTTTTAGCAAGTGATCTGTTCAAGCTAATTTTCCCCTTTAAAGAGCTGAAGTTCATATGGAAAATTAAAAATTTATGTACAGATCCGTTTAAATATTAGATCAGTTTGCAATTCACAAAAGGTAGCTGAAAATTGCCAATTGTTCTCTTAATTTTCAAGAAAAGATTCAGTTTCTCTACATATTAAATCTATAGTCGCAAGATTTTGTTTGATCTGTTACACCTCAAGCACAAGGAGAATAATTATGTAATTTAAATGAAAAGCAAAAGTTTCGATTTTTACAACAGATCTGTATAGCGTTCTTCTCAATTAATTTTATATTATATTGGTTATCAAATTTTTATCTTTGTCTATAAGAACAAGTCCAAAATCTCCGCCGGCTAAGTTTCTGGGGTTTTATCTTGTGCCAAGTTAGCTGGATTTTAGCCTAAACACAAAAGTGAAAAGAAATTTTTTTTCCTAGTATTGTGTGTTTCATTTATATGATATTTATTTTATTCCCATATCCAATTTCTTTGCTGTTTAAAAGTTCCATCTTTTGATAAATAAATATGCAGGTGTGTTATTTATATATTTAAAAGATCTTGAAGTTAAAAAAATAATAACAAAAATGAATCACTGTACTATTCAGAAGAACGCTTTTGCTGCCTGTGAAGAGATGAAGGGCAAGAAAGAGGCGGTGGTTTGCCCCAAGCCCCGTCGTGTCTGCCTGATCCAAGCTGCCACCGCCTTTTGTGACCCTTCTTCTGCCAGATCCCTGAGATATCATTCCAAGTAAATTTTGTTACTTTGATGCCCCCTTTTATGATCTCTACAAATCTTGATTTATTTATTAGTCTATGCAGTTTAGATTTGTTTATTAACTTGTGGTTTTTTTGCATCTGTCTAACAGCCATCAACTGGAGTCTTGTGATGCAAAAGCTGGAAATGAACTGCTGGATATCATCTTTGCAAAGGTTTGTTTTCTATTTCTCTAAACTGATACAAAAAATTTTCGCTTTGATATGTGGATCAGATGTACACTCCAATCTGTTTTGAGTTTGTAAAAATCCTAGTACTTTGCTTTATGTAGAACAATTTGTTATGTGAGTAATGTCTTACATTAAAATGAAGGTCTGATCTGGCTTGCAAAATCCATCACATAAAGAGAGTAAAACTAAACAGATTCCGAGTTAGAAATACTGAATAAGCAGTAAATTTTGATTTATTTGTGAAATGATTTATACCTTGACATCTTGATTTTGATTGTGAGATCTTATGTTAGTTTTGTTCTTATTTGCAGGGTGGTTTTGGTGCTGATCAATCTGTTGCACAGGTAGCCTCGTCGCCCCCATTTTTTTCTGGGTCACCGCCGAGCAGAGTATCTAACCCACTAATTCAAGATGCTCGATTTGGGGATCAGAAGGTCACTCCGGTTTCACCCCGAGCAATCCCAAACCCATCTGGGCTGGCACCGTCCCCATCCTCCACCCGTAAAGGGGGTTGTGTTCGGGCTAATTTTGGTAACAGTCCAGCTGTGAGGATCGAGGGTTTTGACTGCCTCGACAGGGATAGGCGCAACTGCAGCATCCCTGCCCTGGCTTAGAGAAATCCCTCGGAAACTAGTACATACAAAGGACTGCTGAAGTTGAGAAAGATGGCCGAGGATTCAATTCTTTTAGCAGATGAGTTTTGAACATTTTGATCAACTGAGCGGGTAATAGGGATCATTGATCATTTTGTCTAGTGTAAATATATTCCATAGTGTCTGTAAGCGAAGCAATGTGTCTATGTAATTATATGAGTTATGAAAGTTATTGACCAAAATAATTTAGAGTGTGAAGCTAACCCTCTTTGTAACGGTGTAAGTAAGAGATGAAATGAGGGGATGCTTCTGGTATTTTGCTTTTGTGCTGAGGTTAGTTTGAAATTTCATCAGGCTGTTTTCTGAGGAGAATTTGTAAAGAAGTTATGGTTGGTTGGGTATATTATCATCTTTTGTAGTCAAATATCCGTGTAAATATTAAATGTCGGTACAACTTTCTACTGTGTAGTATTCTTGTTACATAAATGGAATGGTTTGTTAATTTCTTGTGTAGCCTTCTCAGCTGGTATCGGTGGTAATAATAACTGTACCTTGTTCGTCATGTGAAAACCACAAGAAAGGCGAGCCTTTATATGTTTTCTTGAACTTGCGTGTGAAGTAATTTTCTTGATGGTTATGGAAATTGTGCGCTCGTGTAAGAGAACATGCACGTGTAATGTGCGAATGGGGCAGAGGATATGAGACATCATCTAGTTTTTCAGGTTACGATGTGTTGCCAAGGTTGCTAAGTTTGGGGTGATGATTCACCGTGATGGTCCATTAGGTGATGTAATGGCTGGTTCATAGCCGGAAACCTAGGTGTAATTGTTTTCTTGCCAATTTACCAATGCTGTAGGCGAATGGTGGAATTCGGTAGAGTACTAACGACCATGTGTCATGGTCGATATGGCAATGAAAGGTGTTAGCAAGTGGCTAAGCATTTCGAATGGCAATTTGTATAGGAAAGGGGAAACCTTGAAATTTGAAACTAAAGAACGTATCTTGGCGCTGATATTAATTTAGAACACTGACGCTTGTGTTGATAGCTGCAGCCGCATTCAAATCACACCATTAAAATTTTGCCTTAAGGAATGCAGTTGAATCAGAAGGGTTGATTCAAGTAAGGTGAATGTTTGCCTAAACACAATATTGCATCCAACAGCTTTGGTTGGCGTCATTAAAGGAGAATCAAATGCAATAAAAAGGAAGACTAAGAAAGGGTAACATTCATTAATGATCCTTTTTATGTCATTGAAGGAACAGCTTTTCGTACCATAGCACATGGGTGTTGAATCCTTACCATCATAATATACATCCAGGCTCAAATTTAAATTCAAATTCAAATGGAATACGTGTCGATGCATGATTGGACAATTTGAAAAACTAAAACAAAAACAATCAATCATTTTCTAATACATCACTCTGTCTCTTTACTCCAACATTTTTAACTCCAGATAAGTGGCTTTATTTGAATCACTAACTATTAAGTATTTGGGTTGCCTCATATTCTTGGTCCATAACATTTGGGTCTATGTTGTTGATTCTGGATAATGGTCCAACTTGGGTGAAGAAAACATGATTCTTATAAACACGTCTCTTCATTTAATTGATGTTTGATCTGGCCATACACTTAGTCATCTCCCAATCGTTGATCTATGACTTTTTGACTGACTCCTTAAGTGTCGTTTGGCCATTCATTTTCAGAGAGTATTGAATTTTGTGTTTAGGGTTTTCTCTCTTTCTTCTCTCTAACAACACCGTGTACTTTTTGTGAGTTTTTTGATCTAAAAATTTGAGTGATTCTGAGATTCTACATTTGATATATATTGTGAGAAAGGTTCTTAGTGATATGGTGTGGTTTTATACTGTGTGTTAAGGCTAGAGAAGACATCGAAGAAATCTCTGATTTCTTCGTACATATTGTCACGATTCTTGATGATTTCTTAGGGAATCTAGAGCTTTATCCACTTGTAGATGTTCAACGGGTGAGTAGGTTGTAAGGCTGAACATCCGGGGCCGTTTGTGGCGAAAAAATTATTTGTGTTCTTGTTACCTTTAGTTTCTACAATTTTTGTTACGATTTGTTCGAAAATAAATTTTTAAACAAGATCCTGATACCAACATTAACAAAGCCAAACCCCCAGACCGACTACGCCAAGAGCACTCATCCATAAATCGATTACTGGTACAAATAACATAAAGAAATGTAACCAACGTTTGTTATCTAAGTATATTTAGATAGATATCTATCAGATCGTGACTTCATGTACCAAATATTTCTATATCGCTGCATCCGATATTTTTGTTCCGAGAGTGTGATGGAGAATGGATGCAAGCAAGAGACTTTCATTTTTATTTTTTTTTAAGGAAGAAAATAGAAAATTCTCTCTTTCTAAGAGATTAAACTCAATAGAAAAATATTCGAAGTATTTTGTTTGCGAATCATTATAGCCTAACACTGAAGTACAATTCAGTTTCTCTCTCTCTCTCTCTCCCCTCCCTAATTTTCAATCGTATTATTCAATAGTTAACATGTTTTCAGTTTGAATTAATATTTTTCATTTCTTTGTTTTTTTTTTCCTTTCCTTTTTAAGAATTGCATTTTACTAATGAATCAATGTTTTAACCAGCGTTTTGAGTTTAACTTATTTACAATAGCGGCATTACAACCTGTTTAGTATCATCTAACAAGATTTTGTAGGATAAAAGCCATTAAATATTTTATTATTTCAAACTTGAAATTTAAATTGCTAGAAATCTTCAACCAACTTTTATTGTTTTGGATAAAGAATTAAAGAATAAGTCATTGTTGCATGGATGTTGGATCCTCTTTAAGCAGTCCTAGATGCTTATCCATCGAAATAATTTATATTTAATTATTTATAAATTATAATCATACCCAGGCTAATGGGAAAAATAAATAAATAAAAATCAGTTGGGCCAGGTGTCCAGCCCGATTCAGTTTGGGCTGTCGCACTCCAGAATTTTGACGGTCTAGAATGTGCGTGCTTGGGCAGACGCTCGGCCAACCGTTGAACGTCTAGGACTGGTATTCTAGACCCGAAGGTCCCACAAAACCTCCATAATATGTTTGAACCATGCTCACTGGCGGACCCACATGGGATCATGTGAGGGTCCTCATAGTTTTTTGGATTATTTTTTTCCCCTTGTTTAAAACGTAATTTTCTGTCAAAGTAGTAAACCAATCCAATTAATTTCCCTAACTCAATGCCCAAAAAGCTTAAACCCAAATTCTATTGTAGTAGCATATGGTCTTATTTTCGTTAATGATATGTTGTTCGAAAAAATTTCATTTTTGACCCCACAATTCAAACTGTTTGGACGCCCCTGACCGTGCTACTGGAACAACTCATTGTTTCAAGTAGGAAAACTCAATATGTTTAGTTGTAATTTTGTATTTGTTACTTTTTGCTTATTAAAAATAAGAGTAGCAAATAATTCTATTTACATCCTATAAACAACATGTTTGAATGAAAACCATCACAGGTGCAAAATATGCTGATAAACAGGGAAATGACAAGGCTAAAACATAATAAAATTTTGAATTCTAGCCTCAAATAGCTACAAGATTTAAAATGAACGTTTCATGATCAAAAATGGCTAAAGGGTTTATTGAAAATTATTTTTTGAGTGTGATTAATCGACATGCTTTAATGTAACGACTATTAGCATCGTTTCATGATTGAAAATGGCTAAAGGGTTTATTGAAAATTGTTTGTTGAGAGTAGTTAATCAACGTGCTTTCAATGTAACGACTTTTAGCGTCATTTCTCGATTAATATTTTAAAATATTAAATTCATGTATTTCAATGCTTATTACATTAAACTCCATACTCTAGATGATACTATGAACTTTTTAAGGGGTTATATTCAGCCACCTCCAAAGTCAATACTATGGCTCTGATATTACCACCTCAACTTTGGGCTTACTAGTGCATGCTATTGTAGACACCCCAAATTGAAATATATACTTCTTAAAATTAATACATAGTGAAAGTAAGGGTCTGTCCCACGAAGAGTATTTGATAATGAAAATGGGGGTTTTTTTATTTTGAAACAATAAATTATTAAGAAAAATAATTAATATCAAAGCAAATCAATGAATTAAATGAAATCAATATAACGAACCTTGACCTAAGTCAATATCCACCATTGGAAATTTACAACTGGCCATTGATCCACAAATAATTATTAACTCACAATTTTAACATGCATTGTGGGAAAACAATTTCCTATATCTGAAACGATTTCTCATGTCTCCTTAGTTTTAATTAATTAGAAACAAGCGATCTAATTAATCATAATTATCGAACAATCTTAGACAAGCGCGGATATTTAATTCAATAATTGCATTATGAACTATAGAAATCAATGAACTAGATAACCCAAGTACACGCGATTACATTTAACCTAGATAAATATTCTTCGTAAGATTCAATAATTTCAAAAACAGCAAATCATTAATTTTAGTTGCTTCACAAGTTAAATCTATCAAACCATTACAAATTTGATGTTTAACTTAGCTATAGTTTGTGGAGAACAATAAATTAGTGTGCATTCTAGCAATTAAACACAACAATCATAAAAGTAAGTGCAGAAGAATATTTAATACTAAATATATGAATTAAACAATAAAAATAAGGTGAATCTCACAAATATAATTGTTCCAAAGCTTCCGTCTCCTTCGATTAACACGAGTTTAGTTACACTCCCTTAATTCTTGAGCACAAAGAGAGAAAATTAGATTTGGGGGTGCTTTCCAGGTTTTAGACGAGTTTTAGTTGTGTACAAGATTTATTTCCTTGAGTAGTTGAATGAAATTAGGAAACTAAAAATCGCGTCCCAAATTTACTTTATGCGACCGCAAGGAAGAAACTTGTGCTGTCACGAGGAAGAAACATTTTTTACCACAGAGTTCTCTAAATGCTTGTGTGCGACCGCATGGTTCAACCGTCTTCTTTGTCAAATAGCTTTCAATATTTTGGTCATAATTTTCTCTCTCGATATTCGATTGAGGTGATTCAATATGAGTTAGAAAACTAACAAAAAGGGCTACAATTTTGGTTGAGATAGACTTTTTTCAGACGTTTACTACGTAAAAAATGAGTCTCAAATAGAGGCTAGAAATCTGGAGTAACTTTTTCGTCTGAAAGTTGATATGTGATAACGCTTCGACTATATTTCATCTTTTTGACTTCTTCCCTCATCCAATTGATCCCTAACACTCTTGATTCTTCATTCCATTGCCCGTCTCATCTATGAATTATTTGCAACTTGGTCCCTCAAGTTTTACTTTCTTCCATTTTGGTCCTTTTTAGCTCTTTTCTTCCAAATTCCATAGTTTCCATCTACTTGCAACTTAAATCAAAATATAAGGATACTAAGTACATTTAGGCATTAATTAATTACAAAAATGCAAGCATTGATGGATGAAAACACGACATTTC